TTGATTATTTAAAAAGTAGTTGTAGTTTCTGACTTAAATAACTAAAATGTATTCTTCTATTAAAAATAAATGCAGGCTGCAATGAACAGATAAAGTCATCCTTTTATTAGAACTGGCAGTACTGTTAATATCCATAAATGCTGATACTTTGCTGTTTCACATGTATTTCACAACAGCGAGCGCAAACAAATGTGTTCTTTAAGTTTCCATCCCTCCCCTTACTGCATTTCTTAAAGTCAATTATAAATCAGACATGAGCTCTCCTCTTCCTCACAATCCTCCTCTAATCTAATTTTGCCGATTTGAGGATAACATCAGGAAGGTATAAAACAACACCCAGGGATGCATAAGCTGCCTGTGAGGGGTTGGCTTAAACCACTGGTGACTGCTGCACGACCTCGCACACCGTCGGCACTCTCCATCCATCGAAGCTCCAGCGAAGGTGAACGGACATGACTTGGGACGGAGGAATCGAGCCAAATGGCACAGAGGGCAAGAACTTCTACATCCCCATGTCCAACAGGAGTGGAGTCGTCAGAAGTCCCTTTGAATACCCTCAGTATTATTTGGCGGATCACATCATGTACAAGATTCTTGCCGTCTACATGTTCTTCCTGATCTGCACTGGAACCCCCATCAACGGTCTGACGCTGCTGGTCACGGCTCAGAACAAGAAACTCAGGCAACCTCTCAACTACATCCTGGTCAACCTGGCCGTGGCCGGACTCATCATGTGCTGCTTCGGATTCACCATCACCTTCACCTCTGCTTTTAACGGCTACTTTGTCCTCGGAACCACTGCCTGTGCCTTGGAGGGATTCCTGGCCACAGTTGGTGGTAAGAATGAAGAAGCAGAGGACATTTTCAGGGATTATAGAATAAATTATGCTCCTTATTAACTTCTCCTTAACGTCTCTTACCCTCTTGTCTCTACAGGTCAAGTGTCTCTCTGGTCTCTGGTCGTCCTGGCTGTTGAGAGATACATCGTAGTCTGCAAACCCATGGGAAGCTTCAAGTTCACTGGTACTCACGCAGCAGCTGGAGTCATCTTTACCTGGATCATGGCTTCTGCATGTGCTACTCCTCCTCTTTTTGGCTGGTCCAGGTAAAATTTACTTTTAAAAAAATCTTCATTGCACTTTTGAAAGCCAGTAAATTGACGTTCACACACACAGCATAGACACAGAGGACCACAGGCTGTTTTAACTGAATGTCCTCATGATCTTCTTCCCTTGTGTACACAGGTACATCCCTGAGGGCATGCAGTGCTCCTGCGGACCCGACTACTACACTCTGGCCCCCGGCTTCAACAATGAATCATACGTCATTTACCTGTTTGTCGTCCATTTCTTGGTTCCTGTCTTCATCATTTTCTTTACTTATGGAAGCCTTGTCCTGACAGTCAAGGCCGTGAGTAAACTTTTGAATCTTCTGACGTTATTGAGATGTAACATGTACATCGTAGAATTTATTTCATGAACTTCCCGAATGTTGGGTATCCTTGTAATTGATCAAACTCTTTAGGCTGCAGCCCAGCAGCAGGACTCGGCCTCTACTCAGAAAGCTGAGAGGGAAGTGACACGCATGTGTGTCCTGATGGTCATTGGCTTCCTGGTAGCTTGGGTACCATATGCCACTTTCGCCGCCTGGATCTTCATGAACAAGGGAGCTGCCTTCACCGCTCTGACTGCAGCCATCCCTGCCTTCTTCGCTAAGAGCTCGGCCTTGTACAACCCTGTTATCTACGTGCTGATGAACAAACAGGTTGGCCTAGTACATCTCCTCTTTCCCCATTAGTCAATACTACATTCTGCATAAGCTTCGTTTCTGAATATTCTCTCTTTATGCTCCTCTTCAGTTCCGTAACTGCATGCTGAGCAGTATTGGAATGGGCGGCAAGGTGGAGGATGAGGCCTCGGTGTCTGCCAGCAAGACAGAGGTGTCCTCTGTGTCTTAATCATGATGACACCCTCTCATCTGTGGACGTTGTCCTTACTGATTGGCATCCAGATTTGAAAAGATCCTACTTTTGCCAAATGGACTTCTGGATTTGGTGAACAGAAACACGGGAATGCCACCTCATCTGTTAATATGTAAAAGTAAACATCTGTGAAGGGCTATCTTGTACAGCATTTCCTTGAGTATGTGTGTGTGAGAGTGGGGGAACTTTGTTTCATTGTGGTGACACTCAACACAACTAAACTCTCAAATTGAACTGTGAACAAGCTGAGATGTGACAACACTTTCTTTTGTGATGAATTTGTAATCGCTAGTGGTTTATTTTCATTGTGGGGGGGGGGCATATGTTTAAAATTATTTTTATGTATTTCATGAAATCGAAAAAAATCTGTAAGTAGAGTAGATAATAAATGCATGCATAAAAAGAAATGTGCTTTTGTGTTTGTTTACGTCTGAACTATTCAAGCTTGTTTGTCATCATGAAGTGTTTAAAACCAAAGTGGGAAATCATATATTTAAGATTGAGAGCATTTCAATACATTTTGACACAATATTATAATTTGATTACAAACCATTGATGTTCAATGTAAAGGTCCAGTGTGTAAGATTTAGGTGAAAGGGATCAATTGGCAGAAATAGAATGTAAAATAATTCCTGTTTTGAGTCGGGTTCTCCTTCATGTTTGGAGGGGGAGGGTGAGGTGAGGGGTATTCAGCCTGCAGCTGAATACCCCTCACCTGCAATTTCACCACTAGATATCACTAAATTCTACAAACTGAACCTTTCCCTTGTAGGTTGAGTAAAAAACTGACTGTCTTATGAACAAGTCTAAGACACTGATGGTTCTCCTCTTTAAGACATGCTCATTATGTCCATCCTAAGTGTCAGAGAAAGGCCCTTGTCTTGATACTCAAAGCGTTACAGAGAGAGATGTCAATGATCCGCTCAAGAGCAGAAGTGGAGATGTTAACTTATCATAATCCCTGGTTGGAAGTCTGTGTGAATCCTCTGAGAGAAGAAGGCTTTCTAAGAACTGTGATTCCTGTTAAACTCACTGCACCTGTTCTACAGTAAAGGTATAATTTTTCTTATTTCTGGTGACATGGACGATAAAAGTTTAAAATGGTATTTGACAAACCTAAAGTTGAATGGTATGATATAGCTACTGTTTGCATCTGAGCACTTTATTTGATACACATTTTTGTCTCAATTTCTTTTTGCCAATAAAACAAATAAATGAAAAGTAAATAAAAAATCTATTGTAAATATATCGACAAGTAATGAACTAAGTAAATTTAATCATGGACACTGGATTATCTGTGTGGTTGAATTCACTGTAACTTAATTAATCTCTGGGTTAATGTATGATCAATATTTTCAGGTTCAGTTTCCTCGGAGTAAGCACCTACAGTAAAAAGAAAATATATTTAGGTGAACTTGAAACTGAAATCAATGGAGTTTTAAATAGCAGCCTAACTGCAGTAATAGTTAGTTTAACGATGGGCGTAAGACCATTATTTTCTAGCTGCAAATGCAAAGCAGCACCTTTTTAATCCTTTAAAGCTAAAAAAATGTTGACTTGACATTATTTGAAGTTGTCCACATTATAGATTAGCACAACAATCAGCTATTTCATATGACCTGGTAAAAAAAACCACACACCTCCAAAGATGGCATAATTCCCAGAGTTAAGTGCATTATTAAATTGTGAAATAAAAAACATCCATTGGTTAAATTATTGTTCAAAAATGCACTTTGTGGTTTTTAAAGTTTTTTCTCATCTCACAATTTAAGAGAAGTAGTAAAGAACTGATGCTCATGTGTAGTTCCTGTAGATAGACACTGTAAAGTACATGTCACATATGCTTTAGGACTCATGAGCACAGACAACTCATGCAACCCAAAGCTTTACTCGGTGTATTATACCGCCCCCTTCAGGCCATAGTCAATATAGATCCTGTCATTATCACGTCTGCAGTGCAACATGGTCACAGATAATGTACAAATGTAGGCAAAATATTTGAAAGTGGAAAGTCACACATGATTCCTGATCAGGCTGTGTAAACTGTGACATGTGTGAAACAAGTAAAAGCCCTAAAACCAAATGAAATGAGAGGTTTCACACGTTTACAGCAGCAGGATCCCCTGCTGTGAAGCTGTCAGTGAAGAAGACAGGTGGATGATGCCCCCTGCAGTTGTTTAGAAGAAGTGAAAGATATTTGCAGTATGTTCCATTTGAAAGTAGCAGCCTTTCACTGCTCTGCAGATAATCCCGATGTTACCAAAGATAAACGTTGCACACCAGCCTAACATGTTGCAACTCAGAGGGGATTAATTACATTTAAATACAGGCTTCGTCCTCACCCAATAGGCCATCTCTCTCGTGATGTAGCCCTTTATTTCATGCTGATTGACCCTAATTGTTATATTCTGGGCACACACACTGTAATTTTCTTCAAAGAGCCAGCTCTGGACACCTGCCTGCACTTAGTGTTTCTGTCAGGGGGCCGGCAGGGAAGAGGGTCGTCTCCATTTGTTTTAATTGCTTGGTTCAGATTGGAGGAGTTGCACACAAAGGTCGTAATAACAAACTTGGTATGCACTGAATACATTTGCAGTTCAGTGTGAGGGAGCTGCAGTAAGTGCTAATAAGCTGCTTTGATAAGATTTACTAAGATACTGTTGATAGTTTCAGTGTGATTGTCAGTATTGTTGTGGTATGACAAGAGTGTTGCCAGATGCCACAATAAAAATAGATTTTTATTTTCCTTATCTGACTGATTAAAATATCTCATGTCAACCTCACACAGAATGAAAACATCTTGCATAACAAGTGGTGCACCATTGAGTCTTGAAAATAAATAGGTAGTAAACATCATGATTTGTAATCTGAGCGCCATGAGTAAAATTTGTGGAATATTCCTTTATATGTGAAAAGTTAGTTATCTGTACTAAGGATCATTAAGAGATATTTTGTCCTGTGGTAGCTGAAACTACTACTAACTTTTTAACAGTAATATGTTTCCAAAGTTAATTAACGTTTAGTTAAAGTTGCATTTCCAATTAATTCAAAGTCTAAATTATCAACATCTTTAATTGACATATTATAAATTATTGATTTAATGTCAATCACATATAGTGAAGCCTGATTAATCCATGTAACCAACTCATTGTCATGAATAGATTTCAGACTCTTCAGGTTAATTAGAGCGCTAAGAGGTTTGAGGTATTAGTGTTGTGTTAAATGTCTTAGACAGGATGAAACTGACACCCGGACAGATTATCCCTTTGCCCTTTGCAGTGGAGATAATCCTGATACACAGTGTGAAACATGCTTTAATGTCGGCGCTGGTATCTATACAAAAGTCAATATTCATTAGTGATTCCCTGTTCAGAGTCCCCACATGTTTTTCTCCAGTATTTTCTCACATTCAGTCTCCTCTGCTCTGTTCCTCCTCCCATGAATGAAGAGACTCTCACAGCTCTCACCATGGTAACAGCGGCTCCACAGTGAATATGCTCGCTTTGATATCTGTTGCTGAAAGACCAGAGAATCACTGAAAAAGTTGAAGGAGAAACACTTGAAACAATGAACTTATTCATCAGCATCCTCATCAACTGGTCGCACACGCCCTCAAGTTACAGCACTCATTCTGAAATGCATTTTCATGAATTGTGCAGAAGCTATTTTTCCTTTGTGAAATTACAGCTTTAATCAATACAGTGTGAAAAACCGTGACAGTGACGGTGTCAGAGTGAGATTATGCATCAGCAACAAGAGCATTTCAACAGTTTCCACATCCAAATGATGCATCTTAGCTCGTATAAGTGTAATAAAGTGTGATGTTGCACCTGAACACCATCCATTACCACCACCATCTTAAAAGGGAAAGGCATGCAGAGACACTGAAGAGCTGCATCAGTTCTAACAGGAAATCCATCAATAATGACAAAGCAATAAAAGATACAATCAAACATTAAATATTTATAGAGAAAGCTCCAGCACATTCATTGGGTAGATTCCTGTTCTTACACTGCACATTGTTTACCATCAATCACAGAGTATAGACCAAGATATGTTCTAATTCTTCATAAAAAACCTTTTGACACAGGGAAAAAAAGAATTGGATGAAAGACTAAAGTTAAAGTTAAAGTGAAATTAGATCAATATCTCCAGGCCTGAGACCTAAAATCATGTTACAGCAAATAGGTCACTGGTTTTGAGTCTTTCTAGTTTAATGATATCCTGGGGTTAAATAAAGAAAAATATTAATCAATAAATAAAAGCCATCCAAGCACAACCTGCAAGTACTACCACAGCACTG